TTAAAAGTTCTAGAAGCTTCACGAGTTAAAAGCTCCAGAAGAGTTAAAAAGCTTTAGAAATTTTAAAGAATTAAAAGCTCCTGAAGAGTTAGGAGGTACGAAAGTTTATAAATTAAAAACTTCATAAGAGATAGAAGTTCCAGAAGAACTAGGAATTTATGAATAGTTAGAACTTCTTGAAGAACTATACACTCTTGAAGAGAGAAATTCAAAGATTGTGAAAGCTCAAAAAAGAGCAAAACACTTCAGAAGAGCTAGATGTTCCACAAGAACAAACCGTTCCAGAAAAACGAAACGTTCCAGCATAACGAAATGCTATAGGAAAAAATATATGATGGAGACATGCATAAAGATGACAAATTGTTTAAGATAGTAAACCTGAAGTTTGCTAGTATATAACATAACCAGTTTAAGCAATCCTGGTGTAATAATGGTATTGAGAGTTTATGTGAAAAAACCCGAAGTTTTTCTCATAGCATGTCTTGTTGAAAATGAAAAGAACAATCATGAGAGATAAATCACCATTTTTGGTTGAACAATTATTAGATATAATGGTTGGATTTCTTTAAAAGTCTCCCAAATTATATAATAGATCTAAAACCAAAAACAGTTTAAGATGAATGGCCAAGTAAAGCCATCATCTCAAAGAAAGTATTAAAAGTCCACTAAAGGATTTGATGCATAATACAAGGCTCAAAGATGGGTTATATGGATATGTTTTGGTCCTAAAGTTGGATTCATTTCAAGATAGATGAACTTGAAGTATCATCATCTCGAGGGGGAGAATTAAAGAATCCTATATCAAAAGTAGTGAAACATCCTGAAGATTATGTTCAAACTTAAAATATATTTTATGAATAATTTATAAAGCAGATCCAGAAGATCGTAAAATCAATAAGTGGTGAAATATAATCTCCATATTTTGGTCTGGAAGAGCTAATGAATGAGATTTCATGAAATGAATTATCATTATAGATCCTCGTATAAATGATTTTGAACCTGAAGTTTAAAGGATAATTCATGTGTAAATGCCAGACATACAATGAAAGAAAATCTCAATTCTAGCTCAAAATGCTCCAAGAATATGTCCCTGAAGGATGATTTATCAATAAAGAGTCTATGATATGTAAGAAGCATGATAGACTACTTTGGTTCCTAATAGGAAAGGAGCAAATATATGTTGAAAAGAGGATGAATCTCCTGAAGAGATCCATTGATATGGTTAGTAATAAAATCAGGTACCTGAATGATATTATTGATAATGATAAAGAGATCTCGATAAACCATGTCATTACGGGAAAGATGGAATCAAAGACGAAAAATAATTGTCGACAATAAATAAGATAGCGCACGATTTGATATGAATAAGGATCATAAATCTACCTCCGTGGATGAGTGTAGAAAGTGAAAATATTGGCCAAAGAGTGAAAAGGCAATCAAATTTATGCTAAGCTCATATGAAAAATGAGAAATTTTTGGACTAGGAGTTCAAACGTTAAAAGTAATATCAAGTTTGACAGAAAATGAGCTACTTGAATTGTTCCTTATAGATGTCGTAACATTTTTAAATGAAAAACTTCTGAAGGATTAATAATGTTAGAATTATGTTCCCGGGAACTCTAATTTAATTATTTTAGTTAAGGTTAACTGATAGATGGATAAAAAAAACTGATTCTTTATTTAGTCATAAGATATGATCCCATTTAGAAAAAGAAATTATGTTCAGTTTTTTTGCAGGTATTCTAATTAGACATTTTATCTCGAAATATCCCAGCAGGATCTAAAATATAGAAAAGCTCAGATTTAAGCATTTCTGAAGAAAATGCTATTTAATCCACCCTACAAAATACTTCGAACTTGAAGTTCATAAAATTTGGAAGTGCTCCACAAAAATTAATGTTCCTGAAGAACAAAATTCATTGGAGCAAAGTAAATGAACTCGAGATTCAGTTAAAAAGGGAGAGACCGATGGACTTTAAAATTCTCCTGAAGAAAAAATATTAGAGAATAAAATGAAAGGATTCCAAAAGAATTAACAAAAAAATTTTTTTTGGACATATAGTCATTACACCTGAAGATGTAATGTCATTCGAGACCAAATAGGTCTTTGTTTGAAAAGAGAAAAATGAAGTTACAAGACATAAAGTCCGGTTTGTGGCACAAAGTTTTTTTCAAACACCGGAAATTGATGTTTCTCAGTCGTGAATATAATCACATACAGTAATGTGTTGATTAAAATCCCAGAAGTATCAAGGATGCCTGAAGCATCTAAAAATATGTTTGGTCAAATTACAACGATCAAGAAGAATTTGAAAATTTGGGATAATATATTTCATGGGAAGAGTTTTACTAACTCGATTAATGGACCAAAAGTCCAAGGATCCAAGAATGACGATTATACGAGTTTGTTCATTAAGATTCTACTTATAAAAATTCTCCAAAAGATGGTGTATATAATTGAAATGCATCTCCTAAAGATGATGCTTCCAAGGGGAGAATTGTAATGATATGCGTGGTTGCACTCTTTTTTCCTTATCATGGTTTTTATCCCAATGTGTTTTTGCATGACAATGTTTTTAATGAGGCGACAAAATGAAAACGCAAAATAAATATTTGAAGAGAAATTCTTCCAAAAAAAGTATAATAATGAGCGTAGATGCATTTTTTTCTTGTTATGGTTTTTGTCTCAACGAATTTTTCCAAAATATAATTTTTACTGCAACATTATAAAATACGCAAAAAGATTATATCATTTTTAAAAAAAGAAGTTATGTAATAAATAATTAAAAGGAAGTATTAAAAGATAATTATCCATTTAATATTTAAACAACATTTTATGTCTTCGGTTTAGTTACCGACTTACGTGATGTATATATATAAGAGATCGAACCTATGTAATAGAAGTGATAATAAGAAGAGATCATTTCCTTTCTCGTGGTTTTCTCCACTCTTCCTCTCTCTCTTCCATACGCATATATATATATATATCAGATCTATTATATATATATATATATATATATACAAACACATAATCTCACTTATATAATATCATATAATATATAAAATTCGCCAAATTAAATAAGAAAATCTGTAAGTTAGGTATTTTTTTATAGGTCGTTTTTCCATGCTTCAAAGATTCGTCTGGGTTTTAGTATAAGATCTATTAGTTATATATAAAAAGGTAGTCTAACCAAGAACATTATGTAATTGGCCTACAGCATCTCCAACAAATCTTTAAATCCTTATTTTTTAAGGAGTTTTGATCTTCAACAGTATATTTTAAAATATTATATAATAGATCCTCAAACTTTTATATTTTAAAATATTAAATAATAAACCCTTAAATATGAAGAACACTATTCAACCCCTTAAAAAACTTTTTACTTTTCATTTTAGTTACTGTAATTTATATATTTCACAAAGAATCAAAGAACTTTTTTGTCTTTTTTCATTTTAGTCCACATAATTATACATTAAACTAAATAAATAAAAACATTTCAAATATATCTTTATAAATATAGCTGTTAGATATTAAAATAAATAAATACAACTAACTTTAATTAAAAATTAGGAATAAAAATACTAGATAACACAAAAACAAATTTCACATAACAATAATATATTACATTAAACAAATTATCAAAATAAAAAATTACATTACAATAATATTTTCTTACATGATAATAAAATTACAAACATACATAAATATTTTAAAAATTAAGAGTACACTACTATACTAATATTCAGGTAAATTTGATCCTGAACCTTCAAATTCACTAAAATATTATCTATATAAATTTGCTGCAATCGGAGGTCGTTCTCTTGAGTTTTTTTTCGCATGATTCTTTCTTGTTCAGAACAAATAAACTCACATGTATTACTCTCATCGATAAAACTTAAACTTGTTAACAATATTTTATTTTCCTCAATTTCTTTTAGGACTAGTTTTTTTTGCTTGATTTTGCATAAATAACTGAGTCATCTCGTTAATGAGAGTTTGCGCTAATTGGTTTCTCTCCCAGGCCCGAGCCTCGAGGCAGCCACACGTCTAACTCAGAATGAGCTTTCATCCTCCGTCAACCTTCCTCTTCCGACCGGAGCTTATCCTGATCGACGCTACTCCCTCATCTCCCAGAAGTACTTTAAAGGTCAGATCTCTGTGAGATTCTCTTTGATCTGCCTAAGGTCGAGGTATGATGCTCGTTTTTGGTTTGAGTCATGAGGCTGTGCTGATGCTTGTTCTCTAGCCAAAATACTGTCTAAACCTGAACCTCCAAATTCACCAAAATATTTTCCATATAAATTTGCTGCAATTGGAGGTTGTTCTCTTGAGTTCTTTTTCGTATGATTCTTATTTGTTCAAAACAAATAAACTCACGTGTATTACCCTCATCGATAGAACTTAAATTTGTTAGAAATATTTTATTTTCCTCCTCAATTTTTTTGGGACTAGTTTTTTTACTTGATTTTGCATGAATAACTGAGTCATCTCGTTAATGAGAGTTCGCCCTAATTTGTTTCTCTCCCAGGCCCGAGCCCCGAGGCAGCCGCACGTCGAACTCAGAATGAGCTTCATCCTCTGTCAACCTTCCTCTTCCGACCGGAGCTCATCCTGATCGACGCTACTCCCTCCTCTCCCAGAAGTACCTTGAAGATCAGATCTCTGTGAGATTCTCTTCGATCTGCCTCAGGTCGAGGTACGATGCTTGTTTTTGGTTTGAGTCATGAGGCTGTGCCGATGCTTGTTCTCCAGCCTCTCTCATTCGCAATGAAGTTGCAAAGCTTCTGGCCTTTGGTAATTCCTCCGGCGCAGGTGAACCTACTCCTCCCACCGGAGCAGCCGGTTCCACCGGACCCACCAGATCCAAAGCTTTCTCTTTCAATCCTTTGGAAATCTTCATTCTCTGCTTTGCTGCCGGTCACATTTCTGTTTCCGAGATTTTCTCCGCAGAAAGACTAGTGGTTTCCTCGTATTTCCACCTCCGCTCCTCCACTTTGGTTCAGCTACCGATACCAGCTGCCTCCGCCTCCCTCCCGTCATGCTTGCTGCTCAATTTTCAGAAAGCAATGTTTATTCGAGCCCAGCCCCTGAATCCAAAACCCTCGCCGAGACCTCAAAATGTTTCCTCCGCCTCAAGCGTGACCTGTCTCACCGGCAGTGGTTTTGCGGCATTTGCCGGTCAAATACGTTCGTCTGACGTCAACCTCAACACTTTTCCGCAACTCATCTTATCCAAATCTCGATGTCTTTAATGCTCCTCTTCTCTGATGAGGTGAATGTGCTGCATACTTTGGAAGTTGTGGGCTTGGCCCATGGGATTTTGTTGATGGGTTTTTTTTGTTGAAAGCCCAATAAGGAAAATTTCTTTGTCTCAACAAACCGTCGAAGTTCAACAGTTCAGCTTAGAAAAATCTGACCATAAAGGTCTACTCTTGATAATCCTCTCCTCCGTGGTGTGGCTTGCTGTTGCAGCATCTCTTCGGTTTTACACCGCCTACACTACCATATTTTGGTTCAGCCACCAGCAAAGGCTGTTTTCTCCATCAACTCTTGCCATACCTCCTCTCATTCGATTAAGCTATCAGAAAAGGCTAACGTCTCAGTTAACCCCTGCCACTCTACTATTTCAGTTCAGCAATCGTCAAAAGCTGTCTACTCCAACCACCTGCCTCCAGATCAAATCTACTGTTGACTCTCTTGGTCTTTTCGTTGGGACAGTCACGGTTATCCCATTTGATGGGTTGGTGAGTACAACAACTCTCCTCTCTTTGCGAGGTAAATTCATCGTCATCTTAGTGTCGGGAAGTCTTTTGAACTTTGTTATCTACATGTCTTTGATATGCGATTTCGTGTTTACAAATATCGGAGGTAGAAATTTGTCTTCAAAGTCACATTGGAAAATGACTAACTTTGAACTCTCCGGCTTTGCTGTGAAGTCTCTCTTGACACATTTGAAGCTTGATTCACATCCGCTGTCCATCTCCCACGATGAGTTATCTGCTCTATGTTATATTGTCTTTAATTTGTGTTGTGTTAAGCTAAGAGGATGTTTAATTCCCTCTTCTTGTAGTCTGAGAAGTTAATCTAATGAAGAAAGTGACAACAAAAAACTGAGTCATCTCATAACCTTTGCTCCTAGTTGATGCATTATCTTTAAGAAAAATAAATGATTTTTTTCATTTGATGAAATCAAAGTGTCAACAGATGAATCATTACCTACGACAATTTTTCTTTTGAGTTTTGCTTTCTTCGATCCAATGGGACGTTGTGACGAGTTTGATCCACCATCATCACTATTTAGATTGATTGAAAATGAAGATGCCCCTGGTGAATGTGATGTTAGAGAGCAGATGGTATCATTTCCAATATTAGGACTATCTGGAATGCTGATGTTGACATTATTTGTAAACTTTGGAATATCTTTCATCAAAACACACACATGATCAAACTTAAAATTTTTTTTTTTAAGTTTGGGATCTTGTACTAATAATTTTTTTGCTTTATCCATCTGAAAAGTATTTGGAATGGAAAATTTTTAATACAAAAATATAATATATAAACAAAGTAAAAAAAAATTACTAGTATGCACTAATTGGATATGTACTTACAATGTCATCTTCAGATGCACCACTTGGATGCATATTCTCCACTTGAATCATGCAGCTCTTCAAATTCCTTACAGCATAAAGAATTGTACCCATCCTACCTTCTAGAGATCTACTGCTTCTAATCTTCCAACTCTCATTTTTTTTTCATAGTAACTATTTTTTATTTTTTTCCCATAATTTTTTCAAAGCTTGGTTATTGCTATCAATTGGGTCTTGTGATATTTCTAAATACACATGACACAACAGCTCATCTTCTTGTTGATTGAATAATGTAGCTCTTTTTCTTTCCATATTTTTTTTTATAGAAGAGAATGAGTTTGTGGAAGTGTGATCTTTTCAATGGCTAAAGTCTATTATTTATACACAAATTGAATAGATAAGAATTCAAAGGAGTGGCCAACATTTAGTTTCTTAGATTTTTTATATTATGGATAGGATAGTGGTGGGACTTTAATGTACGTAAAGATGGGTGATAGGTGAAATTTAATGAAATGTGTAAACCAAATTCTCAAGATTTTCTGATATTCTTTTTGGATACGATATTAGTGGGATTTCATTGTACGTAATAGTTGGTGATAAGTGAAATTTAATGAATGGTGTAAATTAAATCCAGAAGATTTTCTTATATTATTAAATGATAACATTTATATCTATAAATATACTTCTATTGATGCCAATAATATATCATCACTTCTTCGTTTAATTCAAAATATATTTTAATATTGGAGCTTCATCTTCTTTTCCAAATTCATCATCCTCATCAGATTCATCTGAAATTGGTGAATAGTTGATGAATGAAAATGCAGCAATGGAGAGAGAAGAACAGCTTGCAGTCAATTTGTTTATCAATAACAACTGCCTTATTCATCGACTAATTCAATAAAATAATCACTTAAGTCATTGAGGCTCTATTCCTGGTCATGCAGTCATACACCGTGATAGAGAAAATGCACATCGTAATTTGTTCAATGATAATTTTTCTTATAATCATGTATTTGGTGAAAAAGAGTTTCATCATCGATTTTGAATGTCAAAGAGATGATTTCTTCATATTGTTGATGTCGTTAAACAACATGACAACTATTTCATTCAACGACGTGATGCGTCTGGGAGATTAGGCTTGTCAACCTTGCAAAAGATTACTGCAGAAATTTGAATTTTAGCTTACGGAATGACCGCTGATGCCACAGACGAATACATCAAAATAGGAGAGTCTACAGCAACTGAGTGCATAAAAAGATTTTTTTGCGTATTTGTAAAAGTATTTTCAGAGTGGTATAACAGCAGAAGACGTTTCCAGGCTTTTATATGTCGGCTAACAACGTGAATTTCCTGGAATGTAACGTAGTCTTGATTCGATGCATTGAAGTATCTTGGTATGCCCGGAAGCAACAACGACATCAATGTTTTGAAGTCTTCTAATTAATTTCAAAGGTTGTTCAAGGTACCGTTCCTCAGGCTAATTACGTTATTTAAGGAAAAGAGTTTACCATGGGTTATTATTTAGCTGATGGCATTTATCCAAATTTGTCAACTATTGTCCAAACAATAAGTGACCCCCAAGGTCCAAAAAAAAAATTATTCCCAACAAGACAAGAAACATGTTGAAAAGATGTTGAACGTGCATTTGGATTTCTACAATCAAAGTTTGCAATCGTAGCAGGATCTTCACATTATTGGAAGAAAGAGGTACCTATTATTGGTGATGGCAATGCACCAATTAGAGAAACGAGATCAGCACCACAAACAACAGTTGAAATAACAGTAAATGAAAATATCTGATTTCAACAATATTTATTTTGTAATCTACATATAAAAAACAAAGAAGCTCATTTATCACTCCAAAACACATTGGTTGATCATATATGGAAGTATTATGGAAATAGTTTTATTTAATATATTTTATATGTACTTTTATTATTTAGTTTGTGGATGTATTATTGTTATTTATGTATATTATCATGTAATGTTTTATTTATTAATATGTTATGTAATATTTTAGTTTAAAGTATGTTTTGTATCTATTATAAATTTTTATCAGTTTATTTAATTATTAATTATGTTAAGGACTAATATGCAAGATTTAAATATTTATAAGGATAAATTTAAGGGTCTTTGTTGGAGCGGTTCACCCTGTTTTTCAAGGGTCAGCCACCTTTAACATAAGGATCCTTGTTGAAGATGTTCTGACTAACAGAGTATCTTGAACGATACTCTATGTCCTACTTTAAATATAGAAAAATATTTTTTATTTCAATTTTATAGTAAATCTCAATAAAATCTTAATTAATTGATAAAAAACACAAGATTAGACATAAGACAAGCAATTTTTTTTAAAATTAATCGAAAAGATAAAGTCATCTAAACAAGCCACTACATTTCTCTAGCCTACAAAGACATACAGTTTTTTTCCGACTTCATCTAGATGATCTATAATCATGTCTCTACTATGTCAAAAAGAAATTCAACATATGTCTCAACTACGTCAAAACAAATTTCATGTCTCAACACTGTTAATAGAGAAATATGTTTCATAGCAAAAGAATCCAATGTAAGCACATCATAAACCATTTCGTTCAAAAAAAAATTGGCTACCATAAACCATTGGGTGAGTAACTATGGTTCATAAATAGAGCCACATATCCTTCTTTCTACGCACTAGTTACAAATATTGATGAAGGATAAATCTTATCGAGGACTTTCTCTAGAGAATTTTGATAATACCATATTTTGACCACTTTTATGGATCATTTTTAAATATTTTTTCCATGTTTTTTATTTTATTCTAAGTGTTTTTATTATGGTTTTCTAGTATTTGTAGTTTTAAAATTATTTTCATAAAACTTAGGAAAAAGCTTAGCAAAACGGTTACAAGACCAGATTTTCAGCTCAGAGTCAAACCGTCAGAAGTTCACCCTCAAATGAAAACCTTCTCACCGTCTGATCCAGCTCAAATTTGGATATCTTAAAGATGGAACAATCAGCTTTCCAGCATAATTGACATCAAGACAACCCAACGGTTCAATCGAAAATTACATGAAGAGTAAGATGTACCGTCAACCAGCCGGCAAGCATTCCTGACCGCGGCCAACACCCAGTTTACAGCGCTCACGTCTCCTCTGACCGCAGAGAATGGTCTGTTCGGCCTAGAAGCCCATTTCCAAGCCCAAATTAATTATTTCATTTGAAGAAACCCTAAGTGACATCTAGAAATGACTTGAGCACTATAAATACATATTTTAGGAACCCTAGGACATATGTCTTTTATGCCTTTTTGCTCTTTTATGCTTTAGAATACTTTTTAAGTTTTTAGGTTTAGGGAGATAGAGATCTATCTCTTGAACCTTTTTTATTTCTGTTTCAATATAGATTCCTATTCAGCTTTTCAATACAATGTTTTTGTTTTATTTAATCATGTCTGAGTAGTTCTATTGTTGGGTTTAAGGGATTTTTGATGGGGCCATATATGTTTGATGAAGATTCCATTAGCTATTAAAGCCGAATCCTATAACTTTTTCTTTTAAACTTATTTTTAATGCATGGGAGTAGCGTCATGAACTATAATCTGATTTAGGTTCGTAGTGTTGCGAAAGTTTTCATTAGGAGCCAGATCTAGTTTGAGAAGAGCAATTCTGCCATAGGAGTGGAAACCTACCTATGGGTGTGCTGTGAATGTTGACGAGTCTTAAGTAGTAGGCTCGCGTCTTTTCCCTTCCAAGGCCAGAGTGGAAACCTACTGGTCATGGTTGCGATAGATAGTTGGTTATGATCACGAGAGTGACGTAGTCATACATTCGTGACTCGAGTTCTAAAAGTTTTAGCTAAGATCTTTTAAAATACTTTTTATCAATGTTTTGAATCGTTCATTTCCCGGAGATAAATTCCCTGAAAACCCAGTATCTCGTTTTTATTGTCTTACATCGATTTTCATTCAAGCTTTTAGTCATTATGTATTTTTTCATTCGCAGCCGATTTTCAATCAAGTTTTAGATTATGTTTTCTTTCGGTTTTCTAGCTAATTTTCTTAAGTACTTTTCCTTTTCTCGTTTAGTTTAGAATTTATGTTTTAGTGACACCCCAAAACTCCTTTGAATTTTGACCAGTTCTAGACTTCATTATTTCATATTTCTTTCAAAAGTTTTTGCAGGAAAAGATATTCCTTCCCTGTAGATTTGATCCCTAAGTACTACAATCGATTAGCTGTGCACTTGCGGCTTATTGACTCTATTAGGGTAAAACTTAACACCCTCACCGCACACCACATCAAGTTTTTGGCGCCGAATCCAGGGAAGACACGCTTTTCTCTTCTGCAAAACCCTAAGAAAGGTTGGTAAATCGACTCTAGAAACAATTTTTCGACTTATTTTCGTTTTTGGTTCTCTTTGTATCAGACTTTGAAGCAATGGATCCCATGAACCGAAATCTCTACTATGAGGAAGGTTTCTACAACACTCCTCAAGCCACCAGACGCAGAGAAGAGCAGTATATGATCAATCTTCTCAACTCTGTTTGGAACCCTAATCCGAACCATCAGCCGTATGGACGCCATGAGCCTCCTATGTACCGAGACGATCCCTACGCGCCTCCTATGGTCAACCCTAGACCATATTTCCATCGCCTACCTAACGAAATCATTCAGCAGGATGAGAACGTCCAGATCAGTAACCGTTTGGAGCAGCTTGAAGCTACAATCAAGCAGTTTATGAATGCTCAAGTCGTCTCTACTGCCGCCCTTCATGAGAGAATCGATGGTATATCAACTCTCTTCAACAAAAAGTTTGAGATCTCTCTGATCAAGTCAAGTCAATAGAAGAACGAGCAAAAAAAAAGTTGCAGCCACCATTGCTGAGAGATTTGACGCCATGGAGGAGGAGCACACCAAGCATACTTTCGAGCTTCGCAGTACTAAGAACAACATCAGAGACCTTGATGTCAAGCTAGACGATGTGGAAACGCCCTCAAACCAAAAAAGAGTCTTATGACTTCACAGTTGAGGTTTCAGAGAAGGTGTACAAGGTCACGGACAAAATCAAAGAGCTTGATTCAACCGTAGACAAAGTCGTTTATGAAATTGATGAGGTTGAAGAGAAAGTTGAGGAGATTATGCAAGGACGTGGAGCACAAGGTTCAGCACTTCACACTGAAGATCCTGATCTAGGAAAGGAGTACACTGAGCCAGAAGACCTAGGAGACCACTCAGAAGGCAAAGGAACAAGCAAATCGAGCAACTCACCTCGGAGACGCTTCCCTGCGGTCGAATCCCTTGTGACTGCACCCAAGAAGAGGTCCAC